AACAAAAGTGTTTTTTTCATTAAATAGCGACCATGACTACTTTATTTGGCGTTTTAAGATTGGCTATTGGAGATAAGATTACAAAAGACAGAACAAAAAAAAAATTGTACGCCTGCGATCACAGTGCTTAAAAATGTAAAATAGAGTGTAAAATTTACAAATTTTCAGAACAATTTATTAATACCTGAGAACATATAATAATTTGTTGCAAGTTGTATTTGAATAATGCTATCAGACGTCATTTATTAAATTCTTTACAATACTGTTTTATTACTTCGCAAGCTATGTATCTATGACGATTCTAAATAATACTTTTATATAAATTGTTATGATGATGTAATTATTTAGTTAATTTAATTTACGTTTTTTTTCATTTTCACTGTTCTTATATTTATACTATATTATATACCCCATTTAAAAGTCCACTACAAAGATTAAATATGTGACTTGACAAAAGAGTGTTAATGGTTTATTATATTAAAGAATGTCTTTGATTAATAAAATAAGAACTCTCTGAGGTTCGCATTCGCTTTCAGAACGTTCGCTTCCAACGTAAATGGTCCATCTGAAAAAAAAAAAAAAATTATTTGAATAGTTTGTTGTACACATTTGAGTTAATATGAATATTTTGAGTACGAGTTCAGTGCCTAAGCTTTGGGATGCGATATTCGGTTAGCTCACATTTACAAGTCGCTATTAAACATTAATTCTGAGTTTCAGTACGTAATTTACCACTTGAAACACGAAGACTTGTTAAACTCGATCAAACATGCATAGTTATATTTATCCCTTTCACCCTGGCAAGCTATTAAGGATAAAAGGACTCAATATTGTCGGTCAACGAATTAATGTTGTTATAAACGTTTGTGACAAACGCCCGCTTTCTGAAACACTGGTCATCCTAAAAATTAACTAATTAGCTGTCAAATGGCTTCTCAAATGTTATGTGAATTGTCAAAAGGATGGTTAAACTCTTTAAATCGATCAGTCTAATCGTTCTGTTTATATTTTACTCATTTAAACATCCTTTTGATCATTGTTAAAAACCGAAAAGTTAAGATACCGGGCGTAAGAAGCCTGATAGGACTGTCGGATTCGAAACAATATTCAATCGTTTCGTTTCAAAAAAAATATCCTTTCACAGATAATGTGTTTCAATAAATAATGAAACATTCTGTATCATCATTAGGTTAACAGATTAAAACAGCGCATTTAATGCAAACACAGGATGATGAAAGTTATGCACGTCCTAGAATTTACACGTTTCAGATTGCTTATACTGCTGCATATTTTAATTTTATCAGGTTACGAAATTTTAAATCGAACAGTATAACTCGCAATTGAAATAACTAGTCACTTCATCAGAAAACTTTGAAGGTATTGGAAATTCTAAATATATTTATTCTAATATAAAAAAAATATACGTAAATAAAATTACATTAAATAAAACTTTTGCGCACATGTAAGTGAAAGAGCCAAATATATAAATATACTGCTATTATTCGTACTTCTTAAACATTATATCTTATAAGAATAGTCGTCAACCGAAAAAGAGATGAAATTTCTTTTACTTAAGTCGGCAACATTAAATAAAGAACACGGTACATTTCTGTACTAGCTGAAATTTTTATATTCACTGCACATGTTTAAAAATATTCCGCGTGTATCCAATCTATGTCTTTTCATACAATATCATCTAATCAAGTAAACTGGGTTGCTGGGTGGATCGAAATGGGCCTAGGTTTACACAGTCAAAACGAAAAAAATTATAAATGTGTAAAATCAAAATGAATGATTATGTACAAACATAATTGTATCTTGTTTCCTTAAAATGTATTCGATTACATCTGAAATATTTAAAAATGTATATAACGAAGTAGGTACTGATAGCGGCACGGAATGGGCAAAGACGAGACGTGTAACAAAGGCAAATGATGCAGACTGTTTGTAATAAAATTCCAAATCCCTTTGAATAAAACTAATTACGATAGTGAGGTACTTACTGTACCTCACTATCGTACCTTTTAATTCTCACAAATTACTGCACGTTTATTTGTTTGAACAAACAAGAGTAACTTTCCACCATGTGCCCTATAGTTTTAAATATAAGAGAGTTTATTCTGTAAAATTATGTTTCATGCTGTATTCATTATCTGACGACCCGAATGGCGTAGTGGGTAGTGTACCTGCCTTCTGCGTCAGAGGGTGTGGGTTCGATCCCCACTACTGGAAAAATATTGTGTGATGAACATAGTGTTTTTCCAGTGTCTGGGTGTTTATATATCTATAATATGTATTTATTTACAAAAGAAAAGTATGTTTAAGTATGTTTATCAGTTACCTAGTACCCATATTACAAGCTTTGCTTAGTTTGGGACTAGAGAACGTTGTGTAAAAATGTGTCCTAAATATTTATTTATTTATTTTATTTATTATCATCATTTCAAGTCCACTGTTCACATAGGTGTCTCCCATAGACTGCAACGAAGTACGAACCGGAGCCACCTGCATTCCGCATTCAAGGCGTATTGAACTAATATAAAGCCGAAATAAGTCATGGTTCAATTATGAACCCAATGGAGATTTTGACACTACATTTTACTTGTGGTTCTTAATCACATTTTAGTTTTAGTACCTGGATGACCCATTTGAATGCTGATTTTCTTTTTCTCACAAAAGAAGGAACAAGAAAAGGAAAAAAGAACATAAACTAGGACTCGAACCAGGGTTTCGGGACTGCTCCATTTCCTACACGAGCTATTATAACCTTGTAGAACGTGGCGAAATTTACCTTCGTATTTCAATGATATTGTAGCAGTTTTTCATTGCCGGGTAAAATACATGGATAAAACTACGTTTTCTAAAAATGAAACCTAGCTAGATCGATTTATCGCCCGCCAAATCCTCGCGCACTGAACTACATGAAAATCATTTCCGAAATTCATTATATATATTTTCGTATATACATCAATTTCTCGTTTAAAGGTGTTATTATTATAAGATTAGATAGACAGATAGATTAGATTAGCAACACAGCGGTTAATGCGTTAGCATATTCGAATGCTTGACATGTAATCTACATAGTCAAGTTTACTCTCCTACTTACTACACTGTCTTTAAGATACAAGTTAGTGATGTATTAAATTGTTGGGATTTGGGCATATGAGAAAATTTGAGTTGAGCAAGTACATCACGCGATATGAGAGGGACGTGACAAATACACACTCACGACACCCGACTTGTTACAGCCGTGATACAAGCACCAACGGAAAAGAGTAAATATTTTTTCTTCACCCCAGTCATTTGTAACACTATTCAGTAGAATAGTGTTACAGACTAATAAGAAATACTAGTAAGTACTTATCCGGTCAATCTGGCTTCTATTTCCAACATGAGATATTATGTAGGTTGCTATTGGATAAACTTTTCTACGGATGCGAACCAACAAATTATTACTAAAAGAAATAAGAAAGCAATTATTATTCTCATAAGAAATTATATATGCTAACATGAACGTGTAACTGTGACAAAACAAATCAATAAATATCTATAAATAAGATTGTTTAGATTAATTCGATTAATGCCTTGATGAATATGTATGGAGTACTGGAGATCCACTCCTCGTCATTAAAGCAAGTAATTACTCCAGGAATATTTATAGACGAGAAAGTTGCAGTTGTGAGATAGAAAACGTACAATTAAATGCTAAAGCGCTACGATGCACCGAACTAGAAAATGAAAAGAGTCATATTATCTATATGCTTTTAATTAAATTCAAACATTTTATTCGCACTCTGTTCAGTATTAAAAAAAATGAAATCCTTCAACGTTCTTCTATTACACGAGTAACATGTTTTGCTTAGTAAAATAATATATATGTAACATTATATTCCTTCGCAAATAACGATATTTGTCTCTAGATCCCTTTGCTTTGCATGATTTGTCCCCATCGCAAGCGAATCCTAGTCGAATTTCGGCTGCTCCCTCTAAGTTTCATCTCGTCGGAAGCAAAAGTATCATTACTTGGAACGTTGCGGTGGCAACTTGGAATTTAAGTAGTGGCCAATGCAAAGTAGTATATTATGCTCATTTATAGCCAAAACTTTCTCAGGAAATTTCTATTATACATTCCTTTTTATATCTGTATGTTGGAGATGCATGGAGTTGAGAGCATAAGAGAATGTTGATCCATTAGAAGTCTTTAGCCTTGAACAATCAATATAAAAGTTATAATAAAATTGAATGTCTGCCTAAATAATAGTTTTTTATTTGATGGATACGAATGTTCATATCACATTTGTTATATGTAAGAAATTTTAGAATTTGCTTATAGTATCTGACTGTCGTATCTGTTCGTTCGGTTAGTTATGTTCTTTTGGCCATTTTAACGGTTCTTTCACTGACAGGTAAAAGGAAAAATGAGCCTATTTTTACTTTGGAAACGATTATTATTACTTTAGAAATAAATTAAAACTCAATAAAATCAATGAATGTCAATAAAATCTGACTCAATGTTCTGTTTTACTTTAAATGTTTGAAATTGTACTAAAAATAATGAAGGTCCCGCACCAAAAGACACGGTTCATTTTATTCTTCTTTATGGTCACTTATACATTATATATAATTCAATAAAAGCATTTGATTCACACTGAATCGCCTATTGAGATTTACGGTTACTCTATTTAAACAGCGTATACGGTACTGAAATGTAGGATGATATAAGAACACTTTTTGTAGATTGTGCGAATTGAACAAACATCATGCGAAAAAAGTTGAGGATAGCAGCTAGTAATGGATGTTTTGCTATATTGATATTGAATCAACCTTCCACCCGTTAAGCAGAAGCCAACTTCGCAGCTTCAACAACCAAGATATCGAGCCGGTGAAACTATTTATTGAGAATAAGATGGAGAAATAATGTAGTAGTAATAGAATGCTATTTTCATCGTAACTTATTTTATGTTCATTGCATAAAGTTATCCCGTAGTACGCAGTTTTCAATAAAATAAAAACTCTTTCAGATTCACTTCCGCTTTCAACACATTTTTCTCCAGGGTAAACGGTCCATCTGAAAATAAGATGTTTGAATATATAAATTGATTTACACATCTTCATGCCTCAAATTAAGGTGTGTAGAGAGCAAGCGGATTGTAAGAACGACGCGGTAGGTGATAGCGTAATGTTGAATACTATTATTATACATAATAGTAATGTACGTAATACACGTACTCCTGTGTTTTTACCCTGACTATGGCAATTTTGCCATCTGGAAAAATACATCGTGGCAAGGCCACGCAACAGTCTTCCTGGTTGCAAGAATGTTCAGGTCCGTCTGGAGAAGTACCACGACCTTACAGAAGACCGCCGTGAAGTGGAAGTGTTACACTCCTGCGTTTCGTCTGGTGAGTTAGGTAGCAGGGGTCCATTTTATTAAAAGGTGGTAACGCATCTGCAACCCTACATGTGTTGTAAATGTCCGTGCACCGTAGTTGTCACTTAACATCAGGTGAACCACCAGCTCGTTTGCCACTTTATCACATTAACAAAAACACGACTCTACACTTGGAACTTGGTACCGTGTGAAATACAATTCACTTCCTTACCGACATCAAACCACTTGGTCCTTGGGTATCCCGTGTTCTCTCGCGAAGAAGCAATAGCTTCACGCAAAGCAAATGCCACACTAACTCCAAGGCACATCGGTGGTTCTGTCACCGCTGTGAATGTAATACAACAAGATATTATTACAAATATATGTCACAAAAACATTACTACTAAGGCACTATTTTACAAGCCCAAATTATACAAATACAAACGCCATCGTGTTGTGCTAATAATAATCCTATTGTGTCCAAAAAGAAGGCGCTGGAGGACCTTGGTCCCCCACATGTGGTGCACAGGGTTAAGAGCTATCTCTGCACTAAAGATAAATCTTCAACTGTGAGTTTTTGTATATAGATAGATGATCAAATTTCGGTGTTGTGAGATCGACCCTGCGACGTCTAGATAGCTCGGCCAGTTGCTTCACCAACTAAGCTAAGCGGCCGAAGAATTCACGACGCGGTCATAATAAAATAAAAACAAAATAAATACTAATCAACTTACTTCTGGCTCCCATAGGACTAATCGGAAAGAAGGAATTAGGCCTCAATTTGATCCTGAAGTCAATGGGTATGTCTTTGGCAAGAGGCACATGGTAGTTCCAAGCGCGGTCGGTAAGTAATTCACCGGTTTTCTCATTGTAAATCAAGTGCTCGCATGTCCAATATCCAATGGACATAACAAAGCCTCCCTGAATCTGATAATAATATTTTTTTTACAGAAACAGCAATTCAATTACAAATATGACTGATTGCATGTCAGCGAATTCTAGCTGCATGCATTATTAATTCTTGCTTTCTATATAACTTAAAACGATCTACTAAAATTCTTTATCCCTGTTGCATCATGAGAGGATTTGTTTAAACACATTGTTTACTCGAAAGTAATTTGAACTTGCTCCAAATTGGTAAATAGGGAAATAATATTTTCAGAATAAATATATAATTTACCTGTCCGATATCAAGTTTCGGATTTATACTAAATCCTACGTCTTGCACAATATCCACCCTCAAGATTTCATGTTCTCCCGTTAGTACATCAAGTTCTACTTCTGTCACGACAGCACCCGGCGATCTATATGGTTCTTCGTCATTCGGAGTAACCCTGTAGCTCGTTTGTAGATTAATGCCACGCATATATGCTGTCTGTATTAGCAATTCCCACGTGGGGTCTGACAGACTATCTCTAACGGTAGATAGTCGATCCAAGAGTAACTGACAACATTTAACCGCACCGAAGCATACCGCATGAGTCGTGCGACTCCCACCGCTAATGATGGTGTTCGGATTCGTAGAGACGTCTATAGGTTTAATTTTCACCTTGTTCAAAGGAATGCGTAAAGTGTACGCAACAGTTTGTGCGACTTTCGTATTGATACCTTGGCCCATGTCGACCCCACCATGCCTCAACACCACCGAGCCATCACCATGGTATACCGTTAGCATTACATGGAAGTCCATTACAGTCGATGCCGGCCAGCTGAGCAATGCCACTCGAAGCCCACGCTTTTTCCAACGATTCTGTTCGTTAAACTCGCGAATTTCGTCTCTCCTTTTATGATACTCGCTGTCTTTAGTTAACATCGCAACGATTTCAGCCACATCCGTATACTGAGGATTCAGGTTGCTAAGTCTAACTTCGAGAGGATCTTTGTCAAGCTCATACGAAATTCGTTCCATAATGTGTTCAATTGATGATACAGACTCCAGTGCTCCTAGAAAATCGTTTTTCATTTAATATTTAGAGGTCTTTATAAAAAAGTAAAACTGTTTGGATATACTTTTTTCTTACAATATATACAAAACATTTTTCATAGTGATAAATACATCTTCAAATTATATATTTTAGTTTACAGAAAAAAAAAAAATGTCTCTGTTATTCCTTCCGCCACATTTCGATTTTGTTTTTGCTTTATCGACTACAGTTCGTTCGAAAACATAAAAACTTCCGAATTGATAACCTCTGTTTGGAAGTCGAAATTATCTGCCGATGTTTGAATTGGAAAACTGGATGATGCTTCTTGTGTTAAAGCGAATAATTTCTGGTAGCTGTTTAAAAAGACTCAACACTAAGTATGAGCAGCTCTAACCTGGAGATCTAGCGTATGTATTGGAAGCGGTGTCTGTCGTTACATTGAAAAGTTTGTATTGCCAACGTCTGTTATCATAGCAGTTTTTGATCGCAGCAACACCGAAAATAATTAATGGATCGCTGATAACATATCCGTTATCTATATACAAATGGTACTCCAAAAACTGTATCTCCCCGGTATTGCTTACACCAACCTGAAATCATTCAAGATTTATTAACTATTTTATCTGTATTAAATAAAAAAAAGCTTTTATCAGCCAATTAGCCAATTTAGCTGCCATTATTTTTAAAAGAATACGAAGTTGTCTACATGTTATTTGATCTTAATATTCATATTCGCCAGTTTAGATTATAGGCAATACGTTAAGCAAGTCAACTTGAGTTTTAACCAAAATAACATTAGTCAACGAGTTACTGGTAACGCGAGTCATTTCAACTACTTAGACACACCCATCGGTACAGCTTCCTACGGGACCAGTCTATCGTGTTCAAGATAAATATATATATTGATAGCTGTCCCGCGAGTTTATTTTGTTGACCTTGACGCATATTTTAATTGGATTTATTAGCGGGGGACTAGGAAATTTATTTTGAATATAAGAACTGAATTTTTTAGTGAAAATGTCAAGCGAGCAGGTGGTTCACCTGATGACTAGTGATTACCGCCATCTATGGACATCAACTCGCCGTGGGCTTTTTAGATGCCAACCTTTAAATAATTGAGGATTGTGAGGCCCGATCATCTCACTCACCAGATAAAACGCGAAAGTGTAATATTTCCAGTTCACAAATAAGTCCGCATAATTTCTAACATTCCTCAACTTCTACTGAAGTAAGATAAACAAGCCCCTTTTCAGATAAGTCCCTTTTTGGGTGAAAAAATATTATTTACAGTTTTACTTCACACTGCAGGGAAGTGGTACGTTCCAAAGTCGTTCCGGAAACATGAAACATATTTTTATTACCTCAAAGTCGACAGTTGACGGGTTCCGCTTACCGAGCATCCTCATATTGGCCTGCATACTCATTACAAATCGGCATGGTCGGTTTGTTAAAAAAGTAACAAGGGCGCACGCACAAGTAATCATGCTGGCGCGAGAGATCTTCGCACCGAAACCACCCCCCAATCGCGGTATCGTTACGTTGATTCTGCGAATGAAATACAATACATTCACATGGGCACAGTCGACGGCCATCGGGGTCGCGGTCCGAACCGCAACCTTAAAATGTAACAATGTGACCATAGGTATCACAATGTTACATTGATCTTTGTGTCCTTTTTCTTTTTGTTAGAAACATTGCCCTTACTTTAGGATAACATTATCCTGTATTGTAAGGACGTTTTACAAACATAAATTTCACATGGACAAACACCCAGATGCGAGACAACTATCTTTGGGTCGCACAAATAGTTGGCCCGTGTCGGGATCGAACCAACGACCCCCGACGCCGAAGCCAATGCCTTAGCAACTGCGCCACGGACTCATCGTATGTTAATAACATAAAATAATGTTCTATAATATGTTAACAGTCCTCATGTTTGCTCACAAATAAGCCATATTCAAACCCCGTATTCTCACAGGAACGGCAATTACGGGGGTGAAATAAATTATATTTATATCATGCAAATTAGCCGATCTATCACAATTTTCGTGGACAAAGTTGCGGGGCGTTGTTAAAAGTAAGGTATGAAATTAAGTTACCTATTCTGTTCAATATTTAGCATCTGGGATATTGCGACGTGTATTACGTCCGGCCATTGCGACGAGGTCGTGACGTCAATGCCGTCATCGCTGGGCTTAGTCACGCAAGACTGTGTCTCCATGTGGTAATGGTACTGGCCGAATATGTTGAGACTGCCCTTGATAACTTTTTGCACATTTAGACCCTTATCCCTAGCGGGGTAGACAATGAAGACATTAACCCGCTGTGGCTCCTTTGCTATGACGTCTTTTATTTTGAACACTGGGTCATTCTTTACGTTTTTATACTTGGCCTTCACCAGCAACGCCGCTCGATTTGCAAGTTTCTCGCTTTCAGCCACAATAATACCGATAGGCTGGTTGTAATACTTCACATCGCGTGAACATACTATTTCTTCGGGGGCAATCGCACCTTCAATGTTGAGCGGTATAAAGTTGTTGGAGCCAGGTATGTCTTTGGCCGAGAAGAACGCCAATACGCCAGGCAATTTCTGCAAGAATGGTGGATTTTTAATAGACTTAGGAGGTTCTTTGTTCGACTGTATGTATTTTTTTTTAATTTAAAAGTATATACAGCGCCTCAGAATGAACAGTGAAGATAAGTTTGAAATAAAATAAGCTATCTAATAATAATCAACTTATCATGATATCTGAAGTTGAAGTGAAAATTCTTAATGTTTATAAATACCTACCATTGAATTCTGGCTAAGATAGCATTTTTAAATTTATAGGTGTAGATCCTATTTAATAATCAACTTATTCAATATCATTTCTCGTGTTCGGATGTTAACGAAAATAATTATATTATTATTTCACATTTTAGTTCGTATCATTCATTCCGATGTTATTACTTTTTGCACGCCGTAGTGGCTGAACTGATAATATAATTTGTTTTCAATTTTGGTTGAAAGGTACATTAGTACTGAGGTAAACCAATGTAGCGACTTTTACTTGAACGGATGGGCAGGCTCGTTCGGCGAAACGTCACGTTCCCGTTGAGCTTCACAGAAGCTCAACGGGAAATAAAGTATTACACATTTTTGTTTCGTACGGTAGCCGGGACCCACTGTTTAGGGTAGCGTGTTTAGGGTAGTAGTTTAGGTATTTGCAACGGGAGTTTTTAGATATCCATCGGAAGGTAATCGATTAATACGACAAGATAAAAGACTAAAGACGTTACCATTTCTTATTAATTTAAACTTCTTTAATATTATATTTTCCCCTTTGTGACTCATAAGTTAAATAACTTATTCAATTGTTTCATTTCATATTTTAAGACTATAAAAAGCCGCGTAACATGAGTTAGACGCAAAATAACGTAATGTGCCTGTACTAAAATAAAAGCAAATTTAAAAAAGTTAATACTCACGAAGGCTGAAGACGGATCAATGCTCTCGATTTCGCCTACGGCTATCTCCGAAGGCACAAAAGCGCAGTACACCTCTTTGGGTAGCGTCGGAATATCGTTTACGTACTTTGCTTCGCCGGCGGATTGAATAAGTGCTTCTAGTTTCGGCAACGGCTCATTCAACGGCCACACATCTGGGTTAGTATCGTATGTTTCTGTCGCGGTGGACACGGGTCTGGTCTTCCGGAAATCCCTCGCGCCGGAACGGTACCATGGTTTTAATTTGTTCTCGGGGATAAGATTTAACAAACCCTTAAAACAATAAAGGTGTTGTTATAACATAAATTTAAAGTAAAGGTGAAAAAATCAATTACAAAATCTCCCATATCTGATCTATTTTTTTAATTGATAAAACTACACGCAATGCAATATGTGTAATAACACGAATGGAATACATATGTATTTCTTATTAAAACCTTCCTGCACTTAAAAATATAAAAAAATGGTACAAAAATCAGTCTAAAATAAAAATCAAACACGATATAGGAAATTGAGCTCATCGCTTTTTTACATTTCTCATATTACCGAATTCCACAAAGGTTTCCAGGTCAAATAACTTCATATTTTTAAATTTTACCATGGACTTTGTTTTTTTTTATTACCGTTAAACATCACAAAATCCAGCAAAAGGATCGTGAAAGAATTAGAAACAAAAAAAATTCAGCTTTTGCGTTACATGGAAGGCTGGAATCAAATGAATTATTTTATTATAAGTAATGGATTGAAATGGAATTAGTTCATCTCGGCTCCTAATTATCGGTTGTAAATTCTTTAATCGCCTTTATATTTTTGGTTAGATATAAGTACCAAAAATATAAAGGCGAAATCAAAATCAACAAAAAAAATCAAATCAAATCTTAACTTCAGTACCGTCAGTATTTATGATCCTACATTTTGTACCTCATGGATCAGATCAGAGAGTTTACCTCTAGGTGTATTATTTTATTTACTTGACTCCAATCGCTATTGAGCCAAGATAAGTTTCTTATCATGTGATATCACTTTCTTAAAACTAGCAGGAATGCTGCGGTTGATACTCGAGAGGAGTCTTGCAGATTCCCAGGATCGCCTGTTTCAAAATACTCTAAGCAATCGAAATTTCAACAACGGGTTTTAAAATCACATTCATATCTGAATTTCATTGAAAATAAATCGCTCTTGGTACATTGTATATCTCGTGAATGAACGTGAAAGAGAACTTATATTCTATTTGATTATTTATTTGAGTAATCTCTTGCGTGTAATTTTTTTTTGTCAGTAATTGTTTCGTTCCATATATTTATCGCGAAGAAGCTAGTGAGGAGGGACCGTCCGCAAATGCTCAGTCTGTTAAACAAACCCAGCTGAGGATTAATAGGCAGTGGTTATTCTAGCCCGGTGAATTGCTGGCTTGTTTGGCACCTGTGCTAAAAAACAATCTTAACATACCTTATAGAATAATCCAAGAGCGCATTTCTTTCTGTAATCCGGTGATAAAAATCCAGGTATCTCTTGCACTATAATTTCTTCTTCTAACACTTGAAGGGCCGTTTGCAGCGTTTCATTAGTAAACAACTTTTTGTTGATTAAAATTTTCTCAGTATTGGTCGCGTGTACAAATTTCGCTGACAATCCCCCGATGACTATTCTTGCAGATTTCACTGTTTCGTCTTCTTTGGTCTTGAACTCATACAGAAATGCTGCGTTGACTTGTGCATGAGCATTTTGAGAACGAGGCATAATCTGTGAAAATTAAAAGAATGTGACTATACTAGTAATGACAGGCTGCGTGCTTTTTCTATTATGTGAAACCCGTGTGAAACCTCTTGTGTAAAACCTCTCATGTGTACCTCTTACTTCTAATGTTATCATTTAAGACTACATTTAATACAAGCTTTTTTAAAATACTACCTAAATTTTCTTAGGACCTAACCTTTTTTTCTTAGGACAAGGTTTATCGGATAAATTCCCAATGATAGCTATATAAACGTTTATATTATATGTTTTCTAATAGAATAAAATAAGCAATGACTTTAAATCCCAGAAATGACTAGCTATATCAACGGTGGTAGGGCCACGCAGCAGCCTCGGCTGTTGTACGAATGCGCAGGCTCGTCCGGCTAATCGCCAGAAGACCGGCGTAAAGTGGAAGTATAATACTTTCGCGTTTCGTCTGCTGATTGAGGTGGCCGGAGTCCAATTTTCAAAAGGTTGTCAACGCATCTGGAACCCTCAGGTGTAGCAGATGTCCATGGGCGGCGGTATTCACTTAACATAAGTGAACCGTCTGCTCGCTTGGTAACTTTACACATAAAAAAAAATCAGTATCTATGATTTATTGACTTGTTTAGTTTTAGTATTGTGATAAAAAGTATCTTTATACACTATTTTTACTAAAGACGCTATAGATTCATTAGATTAATATCCTTGCTTTCATAGTATTGTCATGTATCTCATAGTTATCGTGTATGTACATATTTTTTGGGTTTTCTCATTTGGTTTAAACACAATATTCTCATTTTTATAAACAAATAATTATACTAGGGCTTATTCGTTGGTACGGAAATAAATAAAAAAAAAATCACCTTAAAGGAAACGAACTTGTAACTGCTTGACAATGGTGGAATTTTGACTTGTGTGATTAATTTTCCAGTCATGTCTATGTGGAGAAAGGTCTCTGGGGTCACTTGTTCTACACTGGATACGGTAACTAAAAAAAAAAACGACATCGGTTGAGGATTCAATCTTAAACAGATGAAATTCTCAAAAAATAATGTAACTGAGCAAGCGCTGTATTTAATTTGTCTAAACTTTTTTAAAAATATACACTTGTAATTGTAGATAATATTATAAATTGTAATGTTATTAGAATTATAGACAACAGTAATTGCATATAGTCAGGCAATCATATACATATATTAAAATAAATACAAAATAAAATGAAGGGTGCATTTTTAGATTCCAACATCTGCAGTTTAATACGGTCATTTCCTAGGCAAGTATATGAGAGTAATATAATGTGGAATATTTTATGTTAATAAAGTTACCAATATTATATTCGATTTGGTTTGACTTACTATAACTGAAAATTAATTTAAATACATACCGATTGTTAAAGTTGCACCAATAGTTTCGAGTAACAGAAAAATATCGGAAGAAAACGTAGGATCTCTGTGCTTGACCATGAGGTTACCAGCTACTGTACCTATCTGAAATATTGAAGAAAATACAAAAGAGGTATATTAATAATGTTAACAATTATCAAAAGAAGTCGGAAATCGTTTTTTATATCAATTATTGACAAGCATTTATGTTAGAAGTTAGACATACATATTATATTTCACGTTGTTGGAACGAGTTGATCAGTGTGTTTTGTTATAAATAAACGGACTATGGAATGAATTACTCAATTATTCTGATATATTTATCATTTTATTTTTGAAGCAGCTGGGGATCAATTATCTTTTTAAATCTAGTAGTACAAACATGAATGATAAGAAACAATAGCATATGTTGGCAACATTAAAAGGAGTCGTTCCTGGAGGTCGTTGGTAACACTAAAAGAAGTGTCATTCTATGAGATATAAATGCAGCTGCACGGAGCATTTCATGGTCTTTGTCGTCTTCTTCTCTGGCCGTTAACAAGTAGTATACGCGATAGTGCTGCCCAATCAGTATCACAGATTAAATAGTTAGAGTTGTGTTTCTTCAGTGTAAAAGTGATAAAATAAGTAATTATACCAGTGTTATTATTGTGCAAAGTGAAACTATGGTGATTTGGTAAAAGTATTTATAATTCTAATGTTTATGTAATTTAAACTCATTAATAAAATAAAAGTATCTAGAGAGAATGTATTGCGGTATGAGAGCGATGAAATACTCTGCAGTAAAACAAAGACTATAAAGGTCTTTGGTTTTCGGTCACTTTAAATAATTATAACTGCAAATTAGAAATTGGAGTATTTTAAAGTTTGAACTTATAAAGAATAGTTCTTGGTGTAATAACCGTATGTTTTCCTTTACTTTATTTTTGTTACGGACATACATTTCTCACGGGTATATGAGCCACTAAGTTTAAATGTTCATGCAGTTTCTTCAAATAGGCGAATTCCTCGTGCGCCTCCGCTACACGTGTAAATAGATCCATTAGGTCTCGTAAAGAAATTCCACCACCGACGACCAGATTCTGATCCAAATAGTACGTTTTCAATTCTTGAATTGGATTTATGTCTATCAATATTCTCGGGAAAGCGAAAATTGGCGCAGCCCCTATAAAATTAAATTTTAATCATTACGGTAAGGCAAACAATGAAGAAAAGAGTTTATTTAATTATTGCGAAGTTGAATTATCAAGTTCGCAATAATTAAATAAACTTGATAAGTTAGTCCTTTTTCCGCCTCCTTACGGATCTTCTAAAAAGCCCCTTGATATTCTTCTAAGAAGCACTTTACTGACAAACAATAAATATCTGTAGGGTATGCAGTTTCAAAAATTTCCAATTACTAGCGGCTCTCAATTCAACCGCACAAAAAATGCCGAGCCATCAAAAATAATATCTTACTAATGCCATCACGAACATCGACAACTAAATGATTGCCATTTAGTTGTCGATGTTCGTGATGGCATATAGCACAGTATACTTGGAGCAGTTTAATAAGGAAAGACATTTACTATAAAGAAACACATGTTCACCTTTTCCCCTGAGTAGATGACCTCTATCACCGAAGAGATCACAATTTCAATATCCATGTTTTTTTTTAATACAACTTATTATTATTACACATTTTTGACACATTTAAAATAAGACTGAAACTATAAATACTTAATTTTAAGAGAAATGAAATTACCTCTCCCAGTATTACCATTAACCAGCATATATGAGCTTGTTCCTTCATCACGGAACACTTCAAAGACGTCGCGTACATCGTGTACGCGGTACCAAACCCTGTCATCCTTCAGGATAATCTTCTTGTTGCTCCCTTCTACGTTCTCTTTGTGGATAATACACCATGTTTTATCACAACTATCGTCGCATTTGCCTTGACTCTTACAAAGATTCAGCTCCTCAATATCTGGAAGCTCTGCACTGTGTAAATCTGATGCGAAACTTTTGAAGGCTTCAAGTATTGGCACGAAGCCGGTACATCGGCATGTATTGCTCCCGAAGGATTCCTCTATCTGGCTTTGTGTTAACTTGTATTTGTTATCTTCAAGTAAACTGCACAAAAAGGTTCCCGCATTAAAGTAAGAAAATTAAAATATCTTATTAATTTTCTTACTTTAATACGGGAAACTAGAACGTATCTTTATTATCGTTCTCCATAAGATATATTTACATAAACCACTCATTACAAAATAACTTTTTATTTAATGCGAACACAATATGTTACATGACACAATATTAAAGGATTTTTGCCATCTCGAGGCCTAAATTCTGCTAAGAAAATACTTTGAAGAAAAGTTGGTAAATCACATTAAAAATAAACGCAATAAGAAGCAAAAACTGTAAAAACAGTTTGTTACTAAACTAAACTATTGTTATAAAAAGAAAATTTTAGTTTTTTTGTAAAATGGATGAATAAAAAAAATTGCTTAACTGATCTATAAATTGTTTCACCTATAGAAAGTATTTACTTAGATTCATATAAAAAAAGGGTTTAAATTTTATAGTTATTCATATCTCCTGAACAATTCTTAGATCTTGTGTGGTTCGAAGAAGCGATCTAAAACCATATCAAGTCGTCATATTTTTACAGTAAATATTATTTCTTTACCTGAACATGCTCATTACCCATCCCGGACTGCAGTAGCCGCATTGCGTACCGTCATACTCTGCCAAGGCTTTTTGAACAGGGTGGTAACCTTGGCGATCGCCGATGCCTTCGATAGTTGTAACATCCCATCCCTCGCAGGACGTGATGGAGACCAAGCACTGAGATAAAGCATACAACACAGGTTAACTTTGATTAGTAAGACAACTTTATGTTCCGACATTACTGACTGCTTTCATATCGTGATACACGAAGGATTTTCGATATCACAATATAACTATTAAAATTTGTAGAAAAAATTGGACTAAAAGTTTTTCACCGCTGTGGGAATTGAATACAAGTCTTCCGGACGCGTGGTTAGTGTTTGGACGTTTTTGTGCTAGTGCAAATATAACTTGTGCGATAAAAAAAAAGTATGGGTGTACTTATGTCCACTCGTAAGAATACGAGTGTACATAAGTACACCCATACTTCTTTAACTGTAGCTTCTTGGTTCTTTAGCATAACGTTTTTTTTTTAAATAACTTAGAATTATTGGTAAATGTCAGTTGTCTGTAAAAGTTGTTTTGGTTGCTCAGAATAAATTTTGTTACTAAATATCATGTCGATGTGCGCGCGCTTCGTAAAAATTTAAAACTCATAATTAAACACGCCCAAAGAAGTATAACTTCAATAAACTCACAGAGTTAACGGAAAAGACCCGTCGGTGTCCATGTGTGTCACTTGTGGTCACGCTGACGATACAAGCTCCACAATTACCTTCCTTACACATATACTTCACGCCGCGAAGGTTCAACGTGTTGCGAATGTAATCATTGAGCGTGACATCTGAATCGATTTCGTTGCCCACTAAAACGCAAGTTTTTAGTTAGTTAGCATTTTTCTCAAGTTTTTATTAAAATTTGAGATAAATTTATTATTAAAAACGGTAGCTGCTTTTGACTGAAAACTGTTGCCTGTTGCCTTTTCTTTCTTCTCGAGAAAAAAGATAGAGAGAGCTAGAAAGAGAGTGAGCACGCTACTTACGTCTAAAAGTAATAAAAAATAACGTCGACTCGACTCTGTGATTGATTACATATTTTATTTTAATAATTATACTTACTGATTACATATTACATTTTATTTTGATATAATACTTACCTGAGCACCTTCTCTTGTTAATGATAACCTCGATCCTATCCATGGTTACGTTAAACGCAGAATAACTGAAATAAGAACTCTGAAAAAAAAAAGTTTTTACACTTTAACTGCAAAGTGGTGGTGGACATATAATTTATGTTACATTATATGTCCACTTTATCGATAATTTACAAATACATTATTGTAAATTTCGATAAAAGTACGAAAACCGTTGAATTAATAAAATGAAATACACAATAATTAATAATTTCTTGTATTTACGCGATTACACATTACTAAATGAAACTATGTTTACGGATTTATCGCGGTTATTTTAATAATTCTTAAAATAAAAAACAAGAACTTCAACAAATTCGCCTTACACTTACTGGCAAATCGACCGAAGCAACATTTAAAACTATCAGTGATGTGGAAATTAATTTGAAATATGTATATAAATTATGAAGAACAACACAATTTTTCCGTGCATCGGATCAGCGAGTTGTTCTAAATATATTTTTTTAGCTGGCCAACTAACGTGAGCAACACATTAGACCGTTATTGCAATGCTTATGCTCGACGAACTCTTGTCTTCGTTTCGATCAATTATCCATACTAATATTATAAATGCGAAAGTAACTGTCTGTCTGTCTCGCTTTCACGATAAGCGCTACTAAACCGATTTAAATGAAATTTAGGAAATAGGCTTTTTTAGGACATGGTTAAAGGGTTGTAAAAGGTTCTTAAAGGGGATAGATATATATTATTTAAGGGCTACAACGCGAGTGAAGCCGCGGGCGAAAAGCTAGTATGATATAATTCGACTTGATTGCTTATAACCGCGTAATTGGAGTATCGTATTAAAATGCTTAAACCGAAACGTGGAATTTTGCAACGGCGTCGGTGGAAAAATTTGACGTTATAGCCTTACGCCTAGTTAACACGCAGTTATTAACTAATCTAAGACAATTAACGGTAAGTCATAATTATATTGGATGTCATTTGAACGTAGTTATTTACATAGGATATAAAAAATAAGTTTAAAACAATTTTAGAAATTCTTGTAGAAAAGTTATGTTTATGTCTTTATGTTTAATAATACCTATAAACCATATTTTGTTTATCATTATATTTTTGATCTTAACTAAAGTGGCTTCATTTAGCCTTAAATTATTAATTCGCGAAGATTATAGAAATGCACTAAAATTGGTTACAGTTCAAGCGATTAACACGACTCCTTCTTTGTCTTAACTTTCTTCTTTACGCATTGCTTGCGAAAACACACAGCTATTTCTAGATAATCATCTAAGTCAAAGTCAAATTAAAAATTTCTCTTTTTTTGTATGTGAAAAGTTACCAAACGAGCAGACGGTTAACCTGATGTTAAGTGAATACCGCCGCCCATGGACATCTGCTACACCCGAGAGTTACAGATGCGTTGACTACCTTTTGTAAATTGGGCTCCGGCTACCTCACTCACCAGACGAAACGCGAAAGTATTTGTCATACTTCCACTTTACGCTGGTCTTCTGCGAGGTCGTGGTACTTACCCAGACGGGCCTGCCCATTCGTGCAACAGCCGAGGCTGCTGCGTGGCCCTACCTCTATGCATATATTGGCTTATTGGACGTCAGAAACAACCACCGGTTCACTAAAATAGACCTGTCCAGACGAGGTCATCGTCATTATCCCACAAAGGTACGGTCGGCACAACATGTCGCAAGTGGTTTTGGCTATTTCTAGATCAATAACGCATAAAACGCTTAAAAAATACTAGCAGGCGAAGAACTGCATCTTAATCTGCATTCTTTTTGTTCGCTCACGTGAAAGTGTAACTTATTGCAATATTTTCCTGCCGCACCGGTGCGCGGTTAAGTATCCGCTCAAATAGGTGGTTCTATAATATTTAATTTACATTTAGATTCTGCATCAAATCTATAGCTGTTTTATGTTCATTTAAGTTATTATATTAAGTTATTTCGCTAATATATCCTACCTAACGTGATTCTTTTTAAATAATTAGACCTAATGATGTAATAAGTAAGACAACCTCACAGAAAATTGGCGTGAAGAGGCGGTAATCACTTAGATATAAGATATAGAAGTTTTAAGTATGTTGGAAATATGTTTGTAAATGGTACGTAAATTCAATACTCAATTGCTAATTAAATACACATTACGTACAAAATTACATTCAGCTAACAATGCTGTGCTTACTTAAATATGGAACCTGTTGGCGTAAAAGTCTAGTCAGAAAAGAAAAATCGAAAGAAAATTCTTATTGTAAGTTATCTAGTACCCATAGTACAATTTATTTTAACTGAGACTCTTAATTAACTCTTCATTGCGACTATTGGCGGAATATTAAATTAATAAATTTATTTTAACTAACTTTCGTGTTAACACTATCATTCCCTGTACTACCCTGCCTTTAATATTACTAGCGACCCGCCCAGCTTCGCACGGGTGCAATGTATTATACATATGAACCTTCCTCTTGAATCACTCTATCTAGTAAAAAAACCGCATCAAGATCCGTTGCGTAGTTTTAAAGATTTAAGCATAGGGGCAGACAGACAGCGGGACGACTTTTTTATACCACGTAGTGACTACTCGAAAGGAATGTGAATGTCGATGTTCAAGTACCTCCACGATATTACAAAAGCGAAAGTTGGTTTATTATTGCATACCCTCTTTACATCGAAACGGTTGAACGATGTTAACTTCATAGACGAATTGTATTTTAACCTTTAAGTGTAGACGCGCTTTATCCAGATCGTCCATGGTGACGTGAAGTATCTCAGACGGCTGCAATAATAATAGTTAAATACTATGTTTATGTACTAATAACCAAATTATTTATTTAAAATATGCTCCATCTATTATTTATTTACTAAGAATGTATAAGAAAACCACAAAATATTCATATGAAATCAATGTTTATTTGGTACTATTAAAGATAGATTTGTTATAAAACGGCTGTACTAAACTATTTGTATATTTTTCTTACAAATATGTTACATTAAAATATCAGTCAATAATGTATTATAATTTAAGTAATTACAATTTATCCCGTTTATAGTAAACATTTTAGAGTAAATCATTAATTTTCTACGCATTTGATGCATCCTCAAAAACGGAGACAAATAGGCTCGCGATACTCAATGTAACTGTACTTCGTACGTCTTCTCAGACTGGATGGTTAGATTTTGAGCATTTTTCTCACTGCTTATGTATCTGCAGGGGCAGCTCTTTCAGGTTCGGAGGGCATATCTCTAACCAGTTCACGTGCATTGTATTGTCGATCTCAGTGATTCTGTTGATATCTATAATACACGACGTTTCAACTTTTGTAAAACCAAATTCTGAGCGCGATCCAGGAGAAACTGAGCTCTGGGAATATCACGAACAGCAGTGCAGTTTTTATATAAAGCATAGTCGTTGGCCCCACTCAAATCCAAGAACCTGAAAAAAAAAAAATAGCGCGAAGCCAACTTCGGCAATAAAATTCTGGATCCGCCTGTTCGTCGTCAACATCGCTAAAATCACCCTCTATTTCTGTTTCAGAGAACCAATTCAGAGTTATACGAATCTTTCTCGTATTCACCCGTGCAAATACAATTAATGCAAAAGAGAATACTTTGACTGTAAACGTACACACAACGCAGTCAATAAGTATTATGCTACCTACATGTCACGAAGAAATTATATTCAGTTTATCTGAATACGTAGTAGTGTTAAGGCCCATTTACACGGTGCCATTTTCTTGTACATGCAAGAGCAATAATTGAATGCAATAAATTGCGCGCAATAATTGGTTAGACCATTTGTTGTTTAGACCATGCAACTCATTTATTGCTTCAATTTAATTGTATACAACAGGCAAGAAACTGGCACCATGTAAATGGGCCTTTACATTTTAACATCATACTGATTATAGTAATCGCATTTTCCACGTCTTAAACTCTATGCCATAATTGCCTATTTAATTTTCTTAATGAAATTAGTTCATTGACTATAAATTAATTAACAGAAGTAAGGCGAATGATGTCAAAAATAGTTCACATGAAAAACATAACACGAACATTAATTCTGTTAAGTAAATTAATAGTTCAAATTGGAAAAAAAATTGCAAGGGCAAGAGGAAGATTCATATTCCAGGATGGTACAAACAATTCTTTCCCATCAGTTGAAAACTTCACTAATAATTAAAAAAAACAATGTTAAATATATCCTAAATACTGTAAGATATAAAATTTCTTTACATCAACGTCTAAATTTCAATATAAAATAAAATTAGAAGACTTATTCTTGTTTTCACCATCGATACCTAACTTTAAGGGACACCTAAAAAAATGAAGTTTTGTTTCGTTTTCACCACTTCTTAAGCGTCACCTAACCTTCGGCCTTTTAGCGCTAAGTGACAGTTTACCTTTTGTGAGCTCATGCGTATAATTTGTCTGTCAAGTTTCGATATTATTGCTTCATACTTTTGTAGCAATTAAAGTATTTTAAAGTATTAAAGAAAAGAAATACATTTACATATACAATAAAAATATACAATTTAATTTGTAATTTAAGGTATTAAAAAAATGAAAAACATTCACAAAACACAACATTACACTCTATTATTGTGTATTTATCTTTGTGTGTTAAAACTCGAAACTAAAAATACCATGTACCGATTTAAAATCTGTCACTTAGGTACCTATTGGTGAAAATAATTTTAGTTGACGGGCTGATTTAGGGAATCCCTTATGTTAGGACACCCTTAGTAAGGGAGCGTTTGAGGGTACAATGGTGAAAACGGACATTACGATTGTACCAGCATAATGATCGTCTGATCATTACAAAATATTTTACTACCATAATTTTATTTTTTAATGAAATATATGAAAAGTTGCCAAACGAGCAGAGGGTTCACCTGATGTTAAGTGAATACCGGCGCCCATGGACATCTGCTACACCCGAGGGTTTGCAGATGCGTTGACAACCTTTTTGGAAATTGGGAACCGGCTACCTCACTCACCAGACGAAACGCGAAAGTACTAGATTTCCACTTTA